TATATATATATATATTTATAAGCAGATATAAATATGGTAAGTATTATATCTGTATGCTAGCCATTTGCAACCCTACTTTTGTCACAAGTAAACATTGGCTCTGTTTTGGCTGCATTTTCTGGATAGTTTTTGAGTGTTTCTTATGTGATTGAAAAAGTTGTGTATTGAAGAGTATCAGGATATATTGATTATGCTTTTATTGAACGAAAGAACAGGAGTTCTGACAAAGTTTACAATTTTCTTCTGGTCATTTTCAGTCCAAGGATAGACAATATTATCACCTGATGACAATTTGATGGCATGACTTTGAAGCCAGACTATCATCTTAGTTTTTTTACCCCTTGTCATCGGGGATCTCAGAACGAGTTTAAAGTCAAGTATATAGCATTAACATAGCGAAAAGAAACACACATTTTGTCTTCAATCCCATGATTTTTTACAGTATTAGATCAAATTCATAACCTCTTTCCTTCAACTAGAGGAATCATGACAAATTAGCTTATGATAATTTGTCCAGACTGAATTGCCACTTTCTGTTGATTTTTTATTTTTATTTTTAATACATTCATGATTAACTTCAAAAGTTGTGATTAAACTATCATGGAGCTATTAGGTGTTAGTAATAGTAAAAATTAAGATATGGCTAGATATACAGAGAACAGGTCTTGATGACCACGGCAGGAGATTTATCCCTAATTTAAAACCTTCCTTAATCTTAATACCAAAATACTTGGTCATTGTCTGCTACATGTATTATATTGCAAATCAGACCTAAGCCCCAGGTTAAGGCTACTGTCTTTATTAAAAACAAAAAGGTAAAATGAAATAAAATAAGAAGCCCTGAATTATAGTTTATATGCGGAGATAATTTACATTTTTTTTTTCTAATATAGGTTGCGTTGGTACTGTCACCTTGGACGTTGTGTTCTACAATTTGGTTTGTCGAGACTAGTATTTGATAAGTATTTCCTAATTTTAAACGTTTTCCTTCTATCTTCCTATGATTTGGAAGTGACTGAGAGGGGAATCACAAAACTTAAAATGGCACTAGAGCTTCTGATTGTGATCGGGTTGTCAAAAACTTAAGCTTCCGTTTGAATACCATTGTGTTTTACTTGTTTCCATGGTGTTTTTACCAAAAATAAAACACCACACGTTTGAAAACCATGGTGTTTTTTGAGCTAAATAATCTTCAAACCAAAAACAAAACACTTATTTCAAAACACCTTTTAGGTGTTTTAAGTTTGGTGTTTCGGGTTTGAGTTTGAGAATGTGTTAATATAAAATCTAAAATAATATATTAAATATAATTATTATAGAGTTATTATCAACATGCTTATTATATTATACTATACTATACTATATTATAGTTAATTTGATATATTAGTAATATTTGTTAAATAATATAAAAAATAATAAATAAAATATCTTATATAATAATATAGTAACATATTAAATACCAATATTTAATATGTTAATAATGTATTATATAATAATAAAATATAAATAAACTAATAAAAATAATAAAAAAGTTATTGATAATAAATAATAATATAATAATTATATAATATTATACTATATCGCTATAATATTATTAACTTTTTATTAACTTTTTAATAAATAAATTAATAACTATAAAATATTATATAATAATAACATATTTAATAATAACATAAAAATATAATAATAATATTATAATAACATATTGTATAGTAAATGATATTAAAAACTATATTATATTATATAATATTAAAATATTTATAATATATTAATTTATTAATAACATACTAGTAATAACATGATAATAAGATTATTAATAATATTATATTATATGAATAATAGTATAATATTTATTATATTAATAATAGTATAATATTATATTAATAATAAAATAACATTATTATAAAAATATTAATATAATATACGACAATAACAAATTGATATACCAAAATAATTAAATATATAATTATTTAAAAATAATATGTAATAATTATAATATAATAATAATTGTAATTTAATATATCATATTAAAGTACAATATAATATTATAATACATTATACAATATTATATTGCATTACATTTAATACTTATAATACTATAATAATGTAAACTAAATATTATAACATTTTATTAATAATATATTTTATTATAATTAATATATAATATATTAATAATATGTTTAATACTAATGTTATAATTGGTCAAACTAGTGTCAACCAAAAATACTTAACATAGTGTTTTGAAAACATTTTAAGAGAAAAACACAACACCATGGTGTTTTCTTACAAAAACACAATAAGGAAAACACCATGGTATCCAATACTACCTACAACATGGTGAAGCTATTCAGTAAAATAGTAGAAAGGCCATGAAGTTTCAAATGAGTGACGCACAGATTATTAATCTAGCGTTGCAGTGTTTAGCTGATTCTAAAATATTACAGGTTGTAAATTTGTTATTAGAAATTAAGAAAATAAAAGTTTAACATCATCATAACCTAGCCCAACTTTAAATATCTTGTCAACGTATCTTGCTTTAAGTTTCTGCGGACTTACTAATATAAAAAATCTGCTTAAAAGCACCTCAGAACAAGATTTTACATATACTAATTTCTAAAAGCAAGCAGTTCCGAAGACCATCTTATTCATATTATTTGTATGCATTCACTAATAAACACCAATACCATCTATTACATCCACAACAATTAAATTAACAATAGAAGCACACCATGAAAACTATCTAACATCTCTCATCAGAAATAAGCTTTGCTGAAATTTTATCTTCAGGGAAACCAGTAGTACTCACAGGAGAATAAGCACATCCACCATCCATCGAAATCTCTGCAACCTCTCGATACATCTTCATGCACTCATAGTAGAATACCGTACTTGTTGCCCATATCAGCATATTCATCACCAGATACACAACAACATAGATAAACCCGACAGCTAATCTTGCTTCTGATGAGCTATAAAAACATACCAGCAAGCGATAATGACTCCAGTATATGATAGTTATCGCGAAAATTTCAATAAAAACAATCAGAGTTCCTTGCATCCTCTTGCCTCTAATGATCTTTGCCGCCTTTCCAATTGCCACAAGGCCATAGCAATTCTCTTGTACAACCGAGATTACTATGCTGACATACCAAACTATAGCCATATATGATAGTATGAGTATAAACATAAGAGCTAGGATTGTGCTTGAAATGATAAAAAATGGTGAGTTAGGATGGTAATAAAGTGCAAGAACAAAAATTATTGGAATAATTAGGAAGAGATAGCCTAAGTTGAAGGTTGTGATGTATAGTTGAGTGATCATAGGTCCTCTAAGTGTTCTTATGACTTTAGAGAGTACATCTTTAGGTGCCAAGGGATTATCATAGGATTTATATGTACATGATAGTACATGTATAATTGCGATATTGAGAGCCCATGAAATGGCAGAGGCGACGATGAAAAAAACATATTCGACGATGATGAGCTCTCTTGTGTCCTTTTGGATAGCATAAAGGGGTTTATAGTAGAAGTTTGGGGATTGGGAATTATTGGTGAAGGATAAGCTAAAGGCATTGAGGATGATATCATCAAGTAGAGGAGTAATAGAGAGATGAATGAAGAAGTAGAGGAGGTAGTTGGAGAGGAGATGGAGGAAGAGGATTGGGAGGATGAGTGTTTTATTTTTGGTGGGAAGCTTGATTGATTCTTGAAAAATTTTGAAGAAGGTTAGAGACTTTGATGGGATGGGAATATCCATGTTATGTGTTCTCTTTGTTGGAGAGAGAATTTTTGTTTGTTAAAAAGGGAGTGAAGGTAAGGGTTTTATTAGCTAGTTTTGGCGTTATTTTTGGGGTGAGAAGAACAAGTCTATCAATTGACTTTGTCATGTGTACTGGAGGGAAAAAAAAAAGCCATGCATAGTAATTTCCTCTAAAGCCAATTGGTCATCATGGACACTAGTTATTTTTTTCTTCGTCATATTATGATAAGTTGGTCAGAATTGCTTACGTAATTGCTTACGTTAACATTTGCTTGTGGTATAGCAACGAGAGAGGGTAGGAAGATTCAAAAAGTGCCAAAGTGAGAAAAGTTAAATAGCCTACTTTCATCTTTGCTCAGTAATTTCCACATATTGCCAGGGGCTACCTCTAAATTTCTTGTAAAAAGAATTTTGTGTTTTATATACTCCCCCTGCTGTATTTTTAGTCTCTCTCTCTCTCTCTCTCTCTCTCTCTCTCTCTTTTTCTCTCTCTCTCTCTCTCTCTCTCTCTCTCTCTCTCTCTCTCTCTCTCTCTCTCTCTCTCTCTTAATTATCAAATAACATATTTAGGTTGACAGCTATCTTATTTGTTGGGAAAAATGACCCACTAAACCAGAGAATAGAGAGACAATTACAAACACAATATTTACGTGGTTCGATCAAATTGATCTACGTCCACGGCAAGAGGGGGCTTTCACTATATCAATCTCTCAAATACAACGTACATACAAAATTTTGGTAGGCTCTCTTTTGTTTTTGCTCTCACTCAAGTGGCTCTGTCAAGGATTGCTTCGGATACTCCTTGCACTCCTTCAGAGGAAGAGAGGGGAGGGAGCTTTATAGGCTTCAAATCCCCCTCTCTGTCAATCACCGAAAATGAGCCCTCACACTCTTTGTCAACACCTACTGTCACCTTCCTGATTTGTCAACAATTGTGGCTATCTCTCTCTGATTTGTCAACAATGGTGGTTGTTCCTTTCGGTGCTTCTTTCTTTGTTTTTCAACAAAGGGTGGCTGCACTTTGTGGCTTGATGTTTTTGACCAACAATCTCCACCTCGGCGAACGTTTGCCCAAAACTGAGCCGACACCAACCAAACTATGCCCTTCGTCGTATGTGAGCCAGTCGAGAAGCTGACCCGAGTTTGCTTCCCAAACACACAATGCTCACAGAAATCCAGTGATGATGTATGATCACCACAGAGTAAGCCACGTTTACTCAAAATAGTCATTCCCTTCTCACTCATGTGGCCTAAGCGCATGTGCCACAACTGAGTAGTGTCTCTATCAGCATCAGAAGACACACCTGCAGAGCCTGTCACCGTACTGCCTTGGAGAACATAAAGACTGTTCACCTTACTACCTTTCATCACAACCAATGAACCCTTAGTAACTCTAAGAGCTCCACCTTCGCCAGTGTAAGAACACCCAATAGAATCCAAAGAACTCAAAGAAATCAGATTTTTCTTTAAGTCTGGGATGTGTCTCACATCTGATAAAGTTCTCACTATCCCATCGTGACACCGGATGCGAACTGTACCAATGCCAACTGTCTTGCAAACTGCATTGTTACCCATCAAAACTGATCCACCACTTATAGATCTGTAAGTAGTGAACCAATCTTTATTTGGACACATATGAAAAGACGCACCTGTATCCAAGATCCATTCTTTATCGGAACGGCCATCCAAGGGACATACTGTAAGAACCGTCTCAGCAACAACGGCAGTATCAGCCTTTGCCGTATTAGCTGAATCTGAGGTTTCACCACGCTGGTTGTCTTTCTTCTTTAGAGCATAACATTCTGACTTGTAATGCCCTTTCTTGTGACAGTAGAAACACTCCACATTTTTCTTGTTTGGGGCTGACCTGGACTTTGAGCGATTTCTGGATTGCCCTTTATCACCTTCTCTGGCCTTCGATCTACCTCTGGCTAGCAGACCATCAGCCTGCCCATCGGTACCTCTCCCATTCAACTTTGTTCTCAACTCAGCAGAGTTCAAAGAGGCCTTCACATCCTCAAGACTTATGGATTCTCTTCCATACAACATAGAGTTAACAAAGTTTTCATAAGAGTTAGGCAATGAACATAACACAATGAGAGCCTGGTCTTCATCATCAAGTTTAAGATCCAGGTTTTTCATATCCATGACAATTTTATTAAATTCATCAAGGTGTTCTTGAATAGGTGTACCTTCCTTCATTTTTAATGTGTATAGCCGCTGCTTCAGGTATAATCTCGTAGTAAGAGATTTCTTCAAGTAGAGACTTTCGAGCTTTGACCACAACCCCGCTGCCGTTTCCTCATCGGCAACTTCACGAAGCACATTGTCGGATAGTGACAATTGCAAGGCGCTGTGAGCCTTTTCGTCCATCTCTTCGATCTCGGCACTAGTCATATCTTCTGGGTATTTCCCATCGATAGCTTTAACCGTGCCTTCACGTCGCAAGACTCGCAACAAAGCCTTCATCTTTATCCTCCATAGGCCAAAATTGTTCTGGCCATCAAAGATCGACACCGAGAACTTTACGGAAGCCATTGTAGAGGATTGAAAGCTGTCCTAGAACCGAGAAGCTCTGATACCAGTTTGTTGGAAAAAATGACCCACTAAACCAGAGAATAGAGAGACAATTACAAACACAATATTTACGTGGTTCGATCAAATTGATCTACGTCCACGGCAAGAGGGGGCTTTCACTATATCAATCTCTCAAATACAACGTACATACAAAATTTTGGTAGGCTCTCTTTTGTTTTATCTCTCACTCAAGTGGCTCTGTCAAGGATTGCTTCGGATACTCCTTGCACTCCTTCAGAGGAAGAGAGGGGAGGGAGCTTTATAGGCTTCAAATCCCCCTCTCTGTCAATCACCGAAAATGAGCCCTCACACTCTTTGTCAACACCTACTGTCACCTTCCTGATTTGTCAACAATTGTGGCTATCTCTCTCAGATTTGTCAACAATGGTGGTTGTTCCTTTCGGTGCTTCTTTCTTTGTTTTTCAACAAAGGGTGGCTGCACTTTGTGGCTTAAATTACCCACTAAACCAGAGAATAGAACAATCACAAACATTATTTCTGAAAATAAAGGATGTGAGATGCAGATTATATAAGTTGATGTAGTCTCAAAGCTTTAAGCTAATTTTCGAGTGATCTATAATAAACTCTGTAACTCTCAGTAGAACAGTTGAGCATATTGATGTTTCTTATACTTCAATTTGATCAAACTTGTTTTCCGTTTCCGAAAAATTAGTAGAATTTTCCAACATTAGTTCAAGCTCATTATTCAGATTTTTCTCATTTCCTTTTTTTTTCAGGCATCAAAAGTGATTCAATTACGTAGTATTAAGAAGAATTTGGATATTTATAATGATCTGGATCATCTTGAGCATCTGGGAAGGTGGTACATTTATATATGTAAGAAAAATGAGGTTATTTGTGGGCACAATTATTTCTAGCGGCAAACATGGCTCGCATAAGAGGAGTTAAAGTTCTTGAAAAGATTCTAACATTCTCCAATGTCACTTGAAATGTGATGATGATGGAAAATAACCCCGTGCATCATCATGAGTACAAGACCCATGTAATTTGTTTCCATGATGATGTCTTTCCAAACATGAGAAAGGGCGCAAATGCCTAACACTGCAATATGATGAAAACCTTAATATACAAGAGTAAAGGTCGTAATCGAGGACGGAATTTTATTCTTAAAGATAGCATCATATCTAGCCTTTGGAATAAACCAAGAGGTGGTAACAACAAGCGCCACAGTGGTTTCTAAATAAAAGGCCGGCCATAATACCCTTCATACATTTTTATTAATATTAGTTATTAATGGTCGTAAATAATGTGATATATAAAATATACTTTAAATAAATATTTTCTTATTATAAAATTATTATTGCTTTAATTAATTTGTTAATTACTAAATAACTTACTGATAATTACAACTCGTTTAATTAGTTATCTTTTTTAAGAATAAGTAATTATTAGTAATTGTTAGCTAATGAACAAATAAATTTATTAATAATTATTATTTAAGAAATTATTTATATTTTCATTTTTATAATGAACAATTAAACTTATTAATTAATTTATTAAGTAATAATAAATTTACTAATAATTATTATTTAATTAATTATTTATATATTTATTTTTTAAGAATGAAAAATTATTCTTATTAATTAATTAGTTAACAATGGATATTTTTAAGAATAAAAAATATTCCTATTAAATAATTATTTAATGAATAAATAAAACTATTAATAATTCTTAATTTAATTAATATGTAATTAACTGATTAATATTAATATTAGTAATTAATAACAAAATTAGTGTAATATATAAAAAAATTTATTTAAATATATGTAATATTATGAAATAATTAATTTTTAATTACTTAATTAATAGTTTTCACTAATAAGAATTTTGTATTAATATTAGTAATTAATAATTATAATTATGTGAAATATTTATTTTTATTTTTTATGTAGTGTACTAATTAAAATCTTTATTAATAGATATGATTGGATTAATATATAAGTAATTAATTAGTTAAATATGAGATTTAACAATATGTCCTTTTAGGTTTTTTGATAACTATCTCAAGCTTATAAGTTATTGGTTTACCAATCAAATAACTATACACATATCCTTATAAGTTAAAGGGTATACCAAACACTTAATTTATCTTTTTACATCCTTTATAACGTTTTGAAAATAAGTAATAAGAAACTTATTGTTAGACCCTAGAGGGGGGTGATTAGGGTCTTATACTAATCTAATCCGATTTTATACCAATTAAAATTAATTAACAAGTTATTCTTGCAAGATAGATATACAATAATCTAATCCGATTTTATACCAATTAAAATTAATTAACAAGTTATTCTTGCAAGATAGATATACAATATGATATGAGCAAGAATATGCTAATTAACAAGTTATTCTTGCAAGATAGATATACAATATGATATGAGCAAGAATATGCAATATGATCAAACGTAAATATCCTAGCAAAGAGGTATATGATGAAATATATGCAGAGATATATAAACACAAGGGTAACATAAACAAATGTAAACGATGTAGTGGACAAGCTAGATAATGAGACAAAGGCGATATGAGCAATGAACACAAATATAAATGAACGCCAAAGCACACTCAAACACAACCAAATGATCACGGAGTTCGGACCTTCTGTCCTACGTCTCCGCTCCCCCACTCCCGGGGAGAAATCCACTATCACAACCGGGTTTTCTACGTTCACCCGAATAACGTTTACACCACACAATACGGTTTTCTAGTTTACCGAAAACTCTACAACTAACACACTCTTGTAATCCCACTCTACACCCTCTCAAGTGTTGAACTAGACGTGTCTCCCTCAAGTGCTCGGATACAACCTCTTCCTAGGTTCGTCAACCAACGCCACTCCTCTTGGGACGATC